ATATAAAGGATGAAGCAGAAAGGGCAAAAAAAAGTTCAGGGAAGTTTATGAAAAAGTCTTAGGAAGAATCTCATTTTTGACGACAAGACTTATTGCCTATTTGCCCCTGAAAACACCCAAGGAAAAAAATATTACTATGATATGAATCCTCAGCATATTGTCTATGAGGAAAAAATTCCACAAGAAATACCTCATTTGGCAGGCCATGGATACCTCTAGGAACATTTCATATGCTTTTGTTTGTGAAGGTACCATCACTGCTTAGGTTTATCTGGAGGAATGTCTGAAAAAACAATGCTTTCCATTGATAAGCACTATTCCAGGAGTAATGTCAACTTCTGACAAGATTTAGCTATGTCATGAAAATTGTAACAGTCTTCTCAGACAGCAAAGGTGTTGAATATATATTTAAAAAGAACAACTCTCCAAAGATCCCATAGGCATGCAGCATTGAGTGCTTTTGTGAAATGCAAAAAGAAGTATCACAAATGAAAAGTTCCTGCTAAAAACATCAAATCTTTCTGCTAGATTTAGGAATTTATCAGCCAAAAAGTTGTGTCCACCTCTGGAAAATTTCTGATGAATCATGCTTTCAAAAACATTCATTCAATTGCATATTATGGCATCAGTGCCAGCAAATAACAATTACTACTTCTTCATAATATTTGTTATTAGATAAAGAATATAGCTGTAAGAATTGTTCTTTATCAGATACACAATCATTAAAGTATGAGTTGCACAACTTAGTCCATTTACTTTCTGTTCACCTCTTAATTTGTTTTCTCACATCATTACTAAATTCTTTGGTTGGGGCCATTGTTTAAGCAAAGACAGGTAAAATATACCAGTATTCACTTAGAAAATGATGCACTCTTAAAGTTAATGGTTTCTTCCATTCAAATTTGAAAGCTCAAATTTGTAAATTTAGAAGTGTTCAAAGTGAATTCTTTTTTTCACTTCCTGTATGTTCAAAAACTTTTTTCCAATATTGCCTTATGTAAATATTTTTTGGGGGAAAAATGGTTTGGTTTATTTATTCATTTAAAACTAATGTGATAAACACTTAATAACCCAATGAATAAAATATATATTTTTGTTTTGAACAATGCATTTTTATTTTCTTGTAAAATGATCTAAAACTTAACAATTTTATTTTCTTATATCATGTTCAAATAAGTTTTTGCCTGGGATTGTAATATGGGATACTACAATCTTCCTGTATTGTCTAAATTGCCAAGATACTGTACATTTACAGATATTAATTAAAACGTTTATTATGTAATTATTCCTGTGTCATAATTTTGTTTTATTTGACATATAATACTTATTTTATATCTGGGAAAATTTGAAAACTTTTTGCAAGATTTTCTGGATCATAATGAAAAAATTCCAATAAACATAGTTCTATAAATACTTCCTTTCCAAGTTACAGCAGTTTGAAAAGTTCTCTGTACAGTTGTTGCACTTCACATGTATTGCTATACATAAAATGAATATCCACCATTTCTGAGTTAGAGTAATAGTTCATTGTATTAAAAACATTTAAAAACAAACATCAAAACCATAGCTTGCCATGATTTGTATTACATAAAAATTTTTAATTACAGCTAACTTAAAATTGCTATAATTTCAAAAGGAAGCATTCTTGGACCTATATGGTTTATATGGAATTTTTCACTTTTATGACTGACAGAACATGCTTTTAATGTTGGTCAAACCTTTCAAATTATATTAATTTTTAAATGTGTCAAAAAAACAATTATTTAATCAAATCAAGTTATTTAAAATTGATATTTTCCATAAAATTTGTGTAAATCCAATGGGTTACAGAAGCTTAAGCCCTTTCCATCAATACAAAACAAAATTAAAAAGTATTTGTTCAAACTTCAAAATGGTTATAAAACAGCAACTGCATACCAGGTTGTGTAAAAATAAATAAGACCTACTTGAACCTTTAACCGATGTGTATAGAAATTAATCTTTCCAATATGAACGTTTTCTTAACCCCTTCTGGGCTCTTCTTCAGGTATAGCTGGATCGAACATCAAATGAAAAATTTGAATAAATCCGAACGCTGCTGAGTTTGAATCACACGGTTCGTTCATTTATTTCATCACGTGATATGTTTGAAAGTGTTTGAAGATAACAATAAAGGTCCATATTCAAGAGAAAGATATTATTAGGATATTTAAAAAACGTGCCATTGAGATACACAATTATCCAATAATGTTCTCACATGTTCCTCAGTACCTTTTATTTTATTTTATTTTTTAACACTTAATAAACAGTATACCGTTGTTACCTCGTATGTAGTGCATTTTGCCATGCCATGGAAAGGCCGATTTCGTCTCTTGAATTAATACACGTGGATGTGTCATATGCCTTAAAAATTTCCATCTCTTCCAACCACTTTAGGTGATGAATATGGGGTGTGGTGACAATTACACATGCTCTATTGAAGTCCGCCACAATTTCGGGATCCATAGCATAGGTGGAGAGTGAGGTGGTGTGTCTGTTGCGTTGTATATCCGAGATATGCTCTTTTATCCTAACCCCTAATGAACGTTTAGTCGATCCTACATATACTAGATCCCTGTTAAACCGGTTATCTCTTAGCGGGATTTGTAAACGCCTGATAGTTTCTCCACCCTGGATCAGTCCTTTTCGTTGCGCAGGATATCGAACAAGGTGCTGCATCTTCTGTATGTCATTTATCGTTATCTTCGAACACTTTCAAACATATCACATGACGAAATAAATGAACAAACCATGCGATTCAAACTCAGCAGCGTTCGGATTTATTCAAATTTTTTCGTTTGATGTTTGATCCAGCTATACCTGAAGAAGAGCCCAGAAAGGGTTAAGAAAACATTTGTATTGGAAAGATTAATTTCTATGCACATCGGTTAAAGGTTCAATTAAGTCTTATTTATCTTCAAAATGGTTTTAAAAAAAACATTTACAATGGCAAATATACTTTATTGGACCATCCACAATATAATCATTGTACATATGTTAATAACAGGTCCATATTAATTATTCAATATGCTTAATTTTTTACTTAGCTTCCTCCTTTGGGTTCTTTTGAATCCACTACTGCATAAGATATATTGAAAACTGAAGTACCTGTTAAAATATACACTGAAGAGCAATTGAATTAGGGAGAGCTAGCGTTATGCAAATTTTGAGTTATGCATAAGCATGAAAGTGATTTGCAGATGGGGTAAGCAGCAGTTTGACAAGCTAAGGAGTGCTGTTAACGGTATCAGTAATAGTCAGAAGCAAAATGGGTAAGAGTAAAGATCTAAGTGCATTTGATCATAGACAAATCGTCAGGGCCTGATGAATGGGTCACTCCATTTCGGAAGTAGTGGAAACACTGGGATTTTCATGCACTACTGTGTCTAGGGTGTACCTTGAGTACGTCAATTCCGGTAAAACCATCACTGCCAGAGTCAACTACCGCAGACAACAGCGTGTGGATGAGCGAGGTCGGCGGTGGCTAGTCCACATTGTAACAGTGGATAGACAGGCCACAGTGCAACAGATCACCTGGCGATTTAACGCTGGTGCACAGCAAGGTGTAAGCTGCCCCACCATACAAAACCATCTTCTCTCAATGGGGTACAGGAGTCATCGTCCTACAAGAGTCCCCCTTCTGACTGCACAAAACAGGGCGCAATGATTAGCATGGGCATGGGAACATCACCAATTGACCTTTGAGATGTGGAAAAAGGTTGCCTGAAGTGATGAGTCAAGATTCACTTTGGTACATACTGATGGCAGAGCATGTGTATGCCATAAAGCACATGAAGCGACAGATCCTTCCTGCCAGCAGGGGACTCTTCAAGCTGGCAGAGGTGGCATTCTTGTGTGGGGACCGTTCACATGGACTGAAATAGGACCCCTGTTACACGTGACAGCGTCGCTGACAGGTGAACATTACCAGGATATCCTTGACGACCATCTGCTCCCGTTTGTTTGTTCTCGACAGCCCAGTACAGAGATTGTCTTTCAACAAGATAATGCACCATGCCATTGCACCCGAATTGTATCGGAATGGTTGGATGAACATTCCACAGACCTGCACGTGCTTTACTGGCCATCACGGTCACCTGACCTCAATCCAATCAAGCACATCTAGGATGCAATTGAGAGAGATGGTCAATGCTCCGACCACCTTCTATCTAATCTTCATGATTTGTGGGAGATTATTCAGGACTCGTGGATATGTATGGCTTCCCACTGCTTCCAGTGTCTTGTGGAGTCCATGCCAAGATGAATTGCAGCCGTCATCAAGGCAAAAGGTTACTACACGCTACTAGGCAGATATCCTTAATTCAATTGATTTTCAGTATATATCTCAATATACTTATGTAATTTATATCAGTGAACTTCGGATATCAAACAGCCATTAAATATTTCACCACAAGATGAAATTATCCATTTGAAATCAACTATCAATAATCACATATAGTTTTACTTTTGAATGCAAAAGTAATAACTCTGATTCTTATTCATCAGAATAAATATAATCCTAACATAAAATAATTTCTAGTTTTACCTTAATTATCTCATAAACAATTGTAATGGTTACAACTATAGACATTAAGATATAAATTTTCATTATTATGGATGTATATGTTAATAAGCTAAATGCAACCTTTAAGTATATACAACTATATAATCATATATGATTATATGAGTTACTTTTAGCTTATTCAATTTTATATTTATAGATAAGTGAAGCAACTAACAGTAACTTGGTGTATGAAATATCTTAACAGTTTATCTTTTATGTACAAATGATGTATACTTCTATACACACAAATTATAATGATTTATGCATACATTAGTCAAAACATGGATTAGAATGAAGCAAAAGGTCGTGCTTCAATTGACAAACCAAACTGACTTATAATTAATATATATATATGTTGATTTAAGATTATTTAAAATAATTTATAATTACTGAAACACATACAAAAACACCAACTTACAATGCTTATTTACAACTTTGATGACTCATAAAAATTTCCCTATTTTGTTGTTTCAGATTACAATCGATCGCTGACACAATACATTTAACATGTTCAAATTACCATTCCCCTCTTTGTGTGCGGCATTTCGTTTGTTTATTCTTTAATTAAATTCAATTGATTAAATCAGTGATTCAAACGTAAACTTTAATTATCAAACATCTGACATCTTAAACGATGTAATGCTCAAAACTTCCTGCGCAGATTTCGGTTTCGTTATGTATACGGAAACAATATTTTTCTTCGTTTATTTAAAATTTTGTTGCGTTATGGATAAATAAAATTTATAAATATAATTACTATTGTGCAATTAAAAAAAAGTATCATAAGCAAAGAATGTGATTTTTCTTATATTTTCTACACCAGATGGCGAAGCATCAGTTTTACTTATCAATTTTACAAACGGCCCAACGGCACTGTTCGCCGTAGCGGCATAATTTGGAACTAAGATTTACCAGACGTTTGTAACGCATACAACTACTATTACGTGACAATTACGTCAACTTTACCACGGGGCGATATAGCCTAGAACCACTATGGGTAAATGTGGCTCTGAGAGCCGCATGCAGCTCTTTTTGAGTTACATGAGGCTCTTACTGAAAGTGTTAATTTCTGCTTTTTATTATTCTTTTTACATTTTTATTTCCACAATTTTGTGAAAATAGGTTTATTTAAAAAATTCAATATTTGTTTTATTATATAATAAAATCGCAGTACAGAACCGCGGTACAGAATAAAAAAGTACAGAACTCTGGCTCCCATGCATTTTGCAAAACATACATTTCGGCTCCCACTGACCTCTTGCTTGCCCACCCCTGGCCTAGAAGCTTACGCCCAACTAGCCGATTCAAGACAAGACAATTTACGAACTTTTCGCTTTTCACACTAATTTTAGCGAATTTTTTAAAAATATTTTCTAACGCCTAAATTTTGCATTTAGTTCTATTTACTTTATTTAGCTCAATGTTTAGTTTTTCCACGAAATTTTTTTTTCTTTTTTTTGATAGCATTAAAGGGCATATATGAAAAAGAGAGCATTATTTCTAAAGATCGTCAATCCCAAAGGATGTGAAAAACGGGAAAATGAGATACAATCCTTTTTGTCCAGTGGCTTGTATTGTTAGGTATCTGAAGTTATTATGTACTGTAATAATTTCTTTCGCTTAATCTCTGATGACGTCTATCAAGGTAGTAGAAATCTTTTGCAAATCCGAACCTTTTCAACAGGAAAAATTAGTCCAAATATAAATAAATAAGTGGATTGTTTCGGACTTCCGAACGATTCAGAAATCGAATGGCCTCCTGGAATGAATTAAATTCGAAGTACGAGGACCTGTACAAATCTTTAAAAAGAACCGAAAAAATAAAATCTGTTCTTTATTTCAAAACTCTTTTCGGCACTTTTTAATGGATGAAATTTCGTGTCGCCTCGGATTAAAACGGAATATTCACTCGTTTCCAACAAGAAAAATTACCAAATTAATTTAGCTACATTACTGCTTTACTAATAACACCTGAAATAAATTTAATTTGTTCGAAAGTTTAGCATGTTCATTTTATTAAAATTTTATTTCCGCACGAAAATACTGTAATCTTATTCTGTATCCAATTTGAGGTTGGCCAAGCCTACAGTGGGAGCGGCGGGTGGCTAGGAGGAGTGAATATGAGGTATAGAATCAGTCTATCCGTGGAAATTTCTCTGCCGATTTAACTTAAACACGAGTAATGAATATTGTAAAGTGGTATCTTTACGGTCTCGATCATCCGACTGTTCTGTTCTATTGGTCGGGATAGTATAAGCCTAAATTCTCATATTAATTTAATGTTATGTCTTCAATTTTATTACAAGCAAGCCTTCAAAAATTGTAAATATATAGACTATTGAATTTTCGAAAAATCCAACTTATATGAAACATTTAAAAATCAAATATAAATCTGATAATTTAAATGTTTTCTTTTTATTTTTAACATTTTATTTTTAAAAAGGAATTAATTTATTGTCGTTAAAAATTATTGCGAGCAATAATGCCATAAAATTTTACTTGTTGAAAAAAATCATCATAATGTAACAGCATGGTTTCGAGAGAACCATCTACTTCTCTGACTCTTATAAGAATTGATTCTTCTAAAATGTCTGATCATAGAAGTTCCATCGATACAGCCAGGATGAGCACAGTGATCAGTGCAATAAGTCTTTTTTCAAAAAAATTTAGTGAAAACAATACACCTCGGTGTCGCATATGTTTTTCTTCGGGAGGAGGATTACTATCCGCATGTCATTGCAAAGGATCCATAGGACTGTTTCACAACCAATGTTTAGGAAAATGGATACAATCGACTGATAACGATATTTGCGAAATATGTCACGCTCGTTTTCGCGTCCGTTTCTTGCCAAGCGTAAATTTTGTTTAAAGCTTTTTATTTATTTATTGTTTATCATTTTTACATTTCAACACTTTCTACGTTAATTAATTTATCACGACAGAATTTCACCGATTGGTATCAAAGTCCCAACAATACTCAAAAAAATAGCATAAAAACCGACATCGCTTTATTATTGGTACTTTCGTTAGTTGCCATTACAATTCTAATCGTTTGCATTAAAGAAGTCATTATTTTCTTTAAAGAAGATAATTGGTTACTAGCAATGTGCATCCTTTTCTTTTGCGTAATTTTGATAACAATTTTTGTCTTTCAGGTTTACGTGGAAATCATGTAAAATTAAATTTTGTATTAACGAAATCTTCAGATAAAACTTTATTCTGTTAATATTTGACATATTTCATTTTTCTGTAGACGTCATATCATAAACTATGAAGATTGGCTAAGGGATAATTACAAAGTCGAGATATTACCCGAGCAGGAGCAAAATGAATTGAAATATTCAACAAGTTTCTTATCGAGTAAGTAAATTGTTCATTTTAATGAAATAATGACTGTATATAATGTATAACCAGAGAGATTTCACGCAAATAAGAGGTTTTATGATTATTCAACAAAATATTTCTTTATATATATATTTTTTTTGCGTTTAATGAAAATTTACCATATAATGATAGCAGGTAAGAATCTACAAAATTGTCTTTGGTGTCCAAGTAAATGTACCTGAAGATAATTTCTATAATATAGATTTATTTTACAAGAATTTATATGCAGTTAAATTTTGGCGCAATTAACTAAGTTTATTTTATCATATTGTTAAATATCTGATGACCAATGTGAGAATACAGTGTCTAGAATACATAGTGTATTAACCCTCAATAAAATGAATATAAAGTCCAGTTCCTAGTTCGCCCCACCAGAAGACGTTAAAATCAACTAAAAAGCACTTTTGTTATGTTTGTATTAGTTTGAATTACAGGGTGTAGAATAGCTAGTGTATCAACTGGTTACAGAAACAGGCTGTAGAAAAGTTCGCTTTTGTCAGTTGGTGCTATCAGCATTAGATATGGGAAATCGAGTTCTGCCTCTGAAATGGAAATTTTTGGAACTGTTCCGATGGAACGGTTTCTCGAAACTTCTTAGTCTGTTGGACTAAATGGTTCCTTCCCGGTTTTATTTAAATATGTATAATAGAATGTTCATTTCTCTGTTCTAAGTTTTTTGATCGATCTGCATCAAATTTTTCATGTTTATTCTCTGGGATCTCAATGAAAATATAGACTTCCATGAAACTTGGATACCCCACCATCTCCTTATTTGATCTCTTTTACACTTCGTGATAAACATAACAATGATAGGCTAAATATCCAAACTTTAATATGGTTTACATTTTAACGTTTTGCTTTCTTACTGTTTGGCCGAGCAATACCAAACATATCTGCTAGTTTCTAATAAAAACAAATGATTATGAACTCTAATAAAAATATAAATTTAAAATACACAAAATTAATTTTATTATTCCTAAAAACTCGTGGAACATTTTCATTTAGTTCAAATCCAGATAAAAAGTTCACTGTTGCATGAAAAGCCGTATTCATAAAAATACAAAATGAAGATTGCGTTAATATAAATAGTTCTGAGTAAGTCTCTCGATACTTGATATGGAACTATTTCTAGTAGTTCCGAGTCGGAAGGGTTCCCACCCCGAACTCCTGATTTCTAAGGCACGTTTTCAATTATAAACAGTGCTTCGTATTAAAATAATAAGGGTTTCTTTTAATTTGTTGTCATGAAAAATTTTGCACAATTATGGTATGGCATATATTATCATCGAAGTTTGACCTTACGAAATTGATCTAAAGATCGTTTTAATTGAAATATAAACATAGTTTCGTGATTGCACTGTACATAAAATTACAAATCAACAATTTTTTCAAACCTTCGCTATTTACAAGTTATAAATACTAAATCAATCATATAGGAAAAGAAGACCAACTTAAAAAGAAAGAGAATGTAAATCATGACAATATAATAGTTTTTAAGTTAATTAGTTTATTTATTTTTATCTTACTGGCAGTTTATCTTTATTGACAGTTCAACATTTATCTCTTCAAAATTTATTTTTTATCATTTTCAGTATCTAAAAAGAAGTTTGCTATAAAAGGTCTAATCAAATGAGAATAAATTTACCCAAAAAACTAAACGAACGATTAGACGTTAAAATAAGACATATACAGATAATAATATAAATACACTCACTGGCCAATGAATTAGAACCAGTAGTTTAATATTTTATTAGACCACCTTTAGCTCGAATTACATCATTTACTCGATTTGGCATGGATTCTACAAGGTGCCGAAGTACTTCTAAGTCCAATGCACAATAGGAATTCACTAGATCTTCCTTTAGTTCGCGTAGATTTGACGAAAGCGGACTTTGCTGGCGGATCTGTCGTTCTAACACGTCCCATACGTTCTTGATGGGGTTAAAATCTGGGCTCTGTGGGGGCCAGTGTGGGTGGCGAAAGTCTTCTTCATGCTCGCTGAACCACTGCTGAACAATTCGTGCGCGATGGATAGTAGCGTTGTCATCAAAGAAAGAGCCGTCACATGCAGGAAAAAATGAAACATAGCAAGATGAACTTAATCGGCAACAAGTTCAAATACTCGTTGGAAGTCACCTGGCCTTTCAGGAATATCAGCGGACCAGTTCCGTCCCAACAAAACTTATCCCATACTGTGAGATCGCCTATCCGCGCGTATCGACAGGATGTCCGAGTCGCTCCGAAGCGTGAGTGGGTACGTTTGGCACAGATAAACTGCACAGTTACAAGAAATTAACCCGGTTTATTATAACAAAAAATATCTCTTACAACATTAACATTAAGACACGGGTGGCAGAGGCCAAATCTTTTGGGTCCCTTGTTCTTGATGATGAAGGTCCAAAGAGGAAAGTTCTCTAATGTTTTCGCAGGAGTCGACGGCCCGGGGCGTAGCGAGGAAGTTCGAAGAGGACACTTAGTTCGCAACGAGAATAAACCTTTCGAGGCGAGTGTAGCACATCCAAAGGCACGAGAGAGAAGCCCCGTTTTTTGCCAAATTCGGATTTTTATCAGCTTTTTCCCGGTCTCAGATCGAACATTCCGGTAAGTCGATTACGACTCACCTCCGCTTTCCGATTGGTTTCCACTCGTTACGAAATGTAACGAGATCAGAACCCAGATCGCGGGATGAGTCAACACCGACTGATAATTCGATCCCCATCGAAGATGTTCGATCTCAGGACTTATGTTAAAACAATAGAAGAATAATGTGAGATTCTCTCTTTTCTAACAATTCTGCCCAACATGTCCTTATATGGGCATGAAGTTTATAGCCTTTGCTTAAATCGTTTTATAAATTTTTATCTACAAACATTTTTATTATTTTTTATTTTTAGTATGGTTCCAGCTCACTTCCGGAACCCCACAATACCATAACACTCCCACTAGAACCTTGATGAGTTAATGAGGCAAGCAGGGTCCATTGCTTCATGGGGCTCCCTCCAAACCCTCTGTCTATCGTCGGTACAGAATAAGTGTGTTGTCTGACCATATTACTCTTCTACAGTCCTCAGATGTCCAATCACGGCATTGTTGGCACCACTGTAGACGAACTTTCCGGTCCTTCACAGAAATCGGTGGTTTTCTTATAGGCCTGAAACTGTTCATACCGACTCTTTTCAGTTCCCTGCACATAGTTTGGGTAGATATGAGTCAGGGACGGGATTCGAGGAAGTCTTTTTTTCCATACTAGCCTTTTCAGACGACGTCGGTCACGTTCCTGATTAACTGTTTTGGAACCACAGTTACTTCCTTTAAACATCGATTGCAGGTCATTTTTTCACCGATTGAATACTCGGAATATCCACCTTTGGAAAACTAGTCAGCTCTATAGTTCTTGACATCGTGGATCCAGCGAGAAGGGCATTCACAATCAGCCCTTTTTGAAACTCCATCAAGTCCTTCGTTTTTCTCATTTTCATAAACTTAATGACCGTACTGACCAACAGCATTCTTAAATAGGAGCTTATGAACATGTGGTAACTCATATGACTCAAGTATTTTGTAAATAAGCTGCAAAATTACATTTACTTAATATGCATGGGAATTTCTAATTCATTGGCCAGTGAGTGTACAATTTATATTTTTATTATTAAGCATGACATATCTGATGACCAATGTGAGGATATAGTGTCTAGAATACATATTGTATCAACCCTAAATAGTGACTTAAAATAATGACATATTTTATTATAAAACTAGCGGATGAGCCTGGCGTTGCCCGTGCAAAAAGTAACAACAAAGATTAAGATTATTAGATTATTTCGTATTTCTAACCCTTCTATTACATTATATTATAGTATTTGATTTATATAACTACAAAGGTTATCTTACGTAAGAGTTTATCACATAAAGTCACCAATCTAACACATTTAAAAAATTTTTTAAATTGTGTACAGAATAAGAATTAAGAGTTATTTCAGCCTACTATTGTCATGTTTATCGCAATATGCGATAAACATGACAATGGTAGGCTGGTATGAAATGATACAATTTCATTGGTCAGGTAAACACCAATTAAAAATATGATATCTTAAATTTTTTAAGATATCATATTTTTTCCTAATGTTAACTCTAAGAAACAGTATCATTCACAGTCGAATATCAAGTGATAATCTAACGAATGAAATTTCACAAAAAACGGACCAAATATTTANATCTTAAATTTTTTAAGATATCATATTTTTTCCTAATGTTAACTCTAAGAAACAGTATCATTCACAGTCGAATATCAAGTGATAATCTAACGAATGAAATTTCACAAAAAACGGACCAAATATTTAAACTTGGCATTCTCGAAAACCACTTAAAACATATTTTGTCCTCGCAGGTAACCTTGTACAGTATTATGAAGTTTTCCTATTCGAATGCTACCATACCGCTAGTTCAATAGAAATTCGAGACTTTTTTAACTTTTAACGCGCTGTTTTCTTTAACTCTTTCCGCCCTGTGGGCACTAAGAGGGCCTCTTTTTGCAAGCCCATTATGGATTCTTCCAGGCCACAATGGGGTGGCTGGGTGGTGAGGGACGGATTTGTTATATCCGGACGGACCACCCCCGAAAAATTCCTGGGGATTATTCGACCCGTCCGGATTCGATTCCGGATTCCTGCTTGCTGCCACCTTGACCGCTCGGCCATCCGGCCATTTGAAATTCACAACTGTTGCAGAAAGGTGTTGAAATAATTTAACCAAAAGTAATAGTTGACCTCCTCCCGGAGAGAGAAAATGGTCGACGACCACTAATTAATACTGGTGTACTATTAATATTTGGAAAGTGATCTGTGTTAGATTGGTTGTAGTGATCGACGTTACTAACCTTAACGTCCGAAATATTTCATATGACTTGTTTACATTAAAAAATCTTGTAAAAATGAGAGAATAATCGTTTTCATGTGATAATAAAGTGTTTATATTTTGAAAGAGGTTGTATAAGCTACGTTGAAATATGCTCTCGTTTATAGAAAAATTATTGGGCTGCAATTTGAAAAAATTGTAGACCTATAAATTCCCACTGTCATCTGTCTATCTGTCATTCTTTAATCTCAAGAAAAGAGTTAGATAGATCAAAGTCGAAACCACACATGGAAAACTTAGGGACAGAAGGCACGGATTAACTATAGAGAAACTTCCGGTTTGGACCGAAAGTTATGTTACTTCGATTCAAAATTTCCCTTGAAGAGAGTTAGATAACCGGCACGACTCTATTGCTAACAGGAAAAGTATGATATACAAGGGCAAGATACCACTAAAAGAATTGAGAACATTCTGACGAAAATTTGTAGCCTGACATTGTGACGATGTCACAATAAATAACTGCTCGTTAGAATTAGTTTGATTTATTATTAAAGCTTTTTATTAACTTACTTTGTCCGTCTGTTCAGGTAAAAAGTTGCAATTCATCTATTTCCCAATTTCCGATGTAGTTGAAACTTTGCACACGTGTATTGCCAACGACAGTGCATTTTTAATAGTTTTTTACATACATTTTTAACAATTAGCAAAAAATTAGCGAATAATTAAAATTTGTAAATAAAATTTGATAACAGATGGCGCTACAACACATGACCGTTATTTGCCAGAAACAAAAGTGATGACAAAGAATTACGTGGTTCTCCTGTTACAACAAATCAGGCTCTGAAAGACAATCGTTGGCGGGATAACCGTAGCAGGAAGTGGCAAAATGTAAAGATATTAATATGGTTATCTCTCCAAATAGCTAAAATGCACCTTTAATTTGTAAGAAAATATAAAACATATACATAAAAGATATTAGTCTTCATTACTTTTATTAACCACCTTAGCAATTTCGCATGCAATAAAAGCTGTCATGTTCAAGGTAGCATTATATCCCAAAGTAATTGAGAGGACTAATCACTCACTACATCAAATTTAAACGACTTAAAGCTTTTTTTTTAATCAAAACCAATCTCACAGAGAACAATATTCATAAAATTAAATGCTAAACTAAGAAGAATTTTGATAGTNAGTTTTACTGCTCAACTACTTTTACTGATTCCACTTTCGCATAGCGTTGTCATGAATATAATTTTTAAGGCTGCTACGTGAGAGAGGGATGTGAGTGTGGTCCGAGTCAGTTTCCTTTGCAGCCGACTTCGCCTCAGTGTTGGCGTTTTCATTTCCTAGTACGCCAGTATGGCCAGGAACAAATATAAAAATTATCTTATTTACACGATTTTTAATATGGTGCTGGATATATGCGATTTTATTCTATTGCAATTGGGATTTAATAGAGCTTTCAGGACAGACAGAATCACTATAAATGTTGATAGACAGAGTTTTGTTTGGTAGTGAAGTGGCCCACTGAACAGCTTGGTAGTCAGCATCTTGTTCATCTTGATAGATGGAGGTATATGGGTTGTATCTGTACCTTCTAACATTTTTTTGGCAAAATATGTAAGTTTGGAGAGATACTTGAGCCGACAAGAAGGGAGCTTTTGGACCCATTTGTGTAGATGTTGATGTCTGCAAGATTATCCACGGAGGAAGCAGATGACACCAAAAAACCTTGTTTACAGAATGATGATCAGAGATAGTAGGGTAATTGCAATGTGGTAGCGTATGAACAGCCGAAGATAGGAGTAGAGACCGTTGTTGAGCCTTGACGTTTGTAGTTCTGATGTAGTTTAGAACCTTTTCTATAATATGTAGTGGCAAAGGAAGGAGCTCTACTAGTATCAGAGAGGCATTAGTAAAAACAGTTCTGCAGTACTTTATAATTCTGGTGGCAAACTGGCTTTGGAGAGAGAGTAATTTACTTGCTACTGAATTTTTACTAGTTATATGACCACAGCCAGAGGCTGCGTAAAATAGCATTGGTTGTATTGCCCCATCATATAGTTTTATAAGCTTTATTATTCAGTCCCCAGGTGCACCTATCACATTTTAGCAGCATGTAGTTTATTTTCTTGGCCTTAGACAAGATGTAATCAATATGGCAACGAAATGTGGTTTCTCTCTATTCTCTCTTGTTTTATTTTGTATCACTTTTCTGTTTACACGTGCACTAACTAGTCGATCTCGCAGTTTTTTGTGTCTTTTGTGAAAATTAAAATTAATATAAAAATAAATATTTTGACGTTGATTAATGATAATAATAATAATAGTAATATTGTTAATAATTAAAAAATAAAGTTCTTAAAATAAATTGTTCATTCAAATTCATTAAATTTTTATATTTTTAAATTTGATCACCTAAAGTCTTTTATAAATAATAGTACATATTAATTAACTAATTAATAATTATATATTTTGGACCTAAGGTTTTTAAGGTTTATAAAAAAATTTTTTTGGTTAAAATCTTTTTATAAAATCATGCCAGAATATTACGTAAGATAGGGAAGGGGAGGGGGATCAAAGATAATATTACTTTTTCTTACACAAGGGTGGGTGGGGGTCAAGAATGGCCAAAATCGCCCTTACGTAATTTATGGACGGCCCTGTAGTAACCTCTGTAACTTTAGCAGGAAGTGGCAAAATGTAAAGATATTAATATGGTTATTTCTCCAAATAGCTAAAATACACATTTGATTTGTAAGAAAATATAAAACATATACATAAAAGTTAGTCTTCATTACTTTTATTAACCACCTTAGCAATTTCGCAGGCAATAGAAGCTGTCGTGTTCAAGGTAGCATTATATCCCAAAGTAATTGAGATGACTAATCACTCACTACATCAAATTTAAACGACTTAAAGCTTCTTATTTTTAATCGAAACCAATCTCACAGAGAACAATATACATAAAATTAAATGCTAAACTAAGAATTTCGATAGTTCAGTGTTACATGCATATAGTATAACTAAAAAGTAAAAAATAAATTTTCTTCAGCTTTCACAATATTTTTGGTCGCATAATACCAACTACTGTATACTATCTGACTACTGTCGCAAATACGACTAATGTGTATATCACATATATACAATATTGCAAATAATTATATATGTTATTACTTAATTCATCCATTAATTCATCCCAAAGGTCTTATCATTTTGATTTATATATAGACTATATATTATATAATGTTAAGTAAATTTTACTTCTTATATTCGACTTCCATAAATAGCATTATAACAAGAATATTATTAAAATTTATTGTTTATTGTTTACAAAGAAATTTTTTAAAATCATCACATCTAAAATATGTGGAGAATTTGAGTACAAGAAAAATTTATTAAATATGGCCGCCTCAGATTTCAATCACTACTTATAACTGTTGAGAGAATCTTCCAGATGTAAAATGGACTAAAGTCGTAATTTTCAATAACACTGCTTGGTAGTGATGATAAAATTATTTGAAAATAATTGTGGAAAACAAAATTCTAATTTATTTAATTTAATACATTCCTGTTTCATTCGTGTACAGTACAGTGTTTAGTAAATTATAACTGTAAATATCCGATAAAATAATACATTTACTTATGTTATGCTATATACCTACATAGTTTTTGCGTAGAATTTTTTTGTTGAATGTAGAATAAAATGGGAAAGAAATTATAACAAAACATTTAATTAATTATTATATTTCAGTTCCGCGTCGAAGTTCCTTCAGTGTCGAAGTTCCTTCATTTCTTAATGAAGACGAAGGAACAAATTACTATCAAATTCATTGCATTTAAAAAGTTAACGTGAACCTAAAAATAATACTTTTATTAATTAATATCGATATATATGTACTAAAGAATTGTCCTATTAATAAAGAGAAATACAAAATTCATAGACTTATCGTATATTGTAGTTTGAGGGTCTTATCATTTTGTCCCGATCAGAAAATATCTGTAGACAGATGAAATCTGACATTCAATTGTCACATTGTTTTCGAATACAAACGAATTTTCATTCGACTAAATTTGGCGCTTTTCTTTTAAAAATTGTAATTTTATAGCCTGTAGAAAACCCGAGAAAGATTATTTTATCGCACAACTTTTTACAATTTTTTACGATTTTAAAATGCCGAAAATAAAACTATATTTACAGGTTTATGAAAGGAAGACTAGCATTTTCTAAAAATGATAAATGGATACATTGTTATCCAGAATAACAAAAGCTCAAATTTATGCCAATTAAAACATTTTATAATGATTTTTCTAAACGGCGTATTAAAAAGGTTTGGTCCGCGGCTGTCGCAAAACACTACCGTCAACGTCTTGATGTAATAATACCAATCATTAACCAAAAACAATTGATATCCAAACAAAAACATCTGAGAAGTAAAAATTTCGGCCAAGTAAAATATTAAGACAATTTAGGCGACAATCAAATTTTTTTTTCTTAGTTTTTCATTGGTAAAGATAAGTTTGGGGCTTGAAGTGGTATCTACAAGATATTTACCTGTATTATTATTTTCTACAAACCGTTCCCAATGATAATGAGTAATAATTAGTATATATATACCAATTATTACATCAATGGTATCAATAATAGTTTAATAACCAATTTGCAATTCGAACTTATTAACACTATATAAAGTGCGCTATACAATTTTACTTGATTCGGTATAGTGAGAAATAGTGTTTGGGACGAAATAGTTTTGTATTTTTGACATGAGAAATTACATTTCTTATGACACTCACATTGACTCTACATAGTTTGGTAATTTATACAATATTCTGCACTATCAAAAGTAGAATATGAATGAAGATTTATTGATGGTGTGAAGTTCCGTTTGAGGGCAATATATTATTGCAGACAGGAAACATATAAAACGAGTAAAAATACAAAATTTTTTAATTCATCAAACACAGGTTCTTTAAAATTATTCCAACTTACAGACTATTGGGTTCGTATACATACAATAATCGTCTACACAAACAAGCCTCTATTGTGGCAACCGACACACGACTTATAGCTAAACTTAACTACTTACAAACTAAGGAAGGGGAAATAAAATATAGATAGGGATAGTAGTAGAATAAAGGAGAAAATACCCGGGAGTTTTCTGCCACGTGGTCTCGGATGATTCACAGTCTTGAAATTCTTAATGACTGCAGACCTTATTTTCTTTCCTCTTATGAACGTCTACGTTTTCTGAAGTTGTCTTGTGGTCTTCCCGCTCGCCGTTACTTGAACATGGGGAAGAAACTCGGTTTCTTTAGCAACTGCCCTACGTTCCTCTATAATTCAGCCGTCTTACAAGGTTCCGATACCTCTGATCTCTCACTATGCGATCAGGGCATGATCCTCCTTCGGTTTTCTATCGCAAGGTTTCTTACTTCTTGCTCGACCCCTCGGTCAGGACCACGCTCGTTTTCGTCCTCTCTCGACGAAATCGCAGCCGCTTCTCTTCCCTTTCACCTCGCCTCCTTTCCAGGGGGTTGTTGCTCCTTTTGTCTTCTTGACATTGTTTCACAGAATCGGTGATGTCACCCGAGGGAATAGGGATTAAGGAAGAAAGTTCTAGAACAGTTAAGACAAAAGAACAGAGGAGATACTAAGCCTAACTAAAATTAACAAAAATATATATAAAAGTATTGGCGACGGCCACAATGGCCTACTACACCTATACTTTGTTTATATAGGTTTAAGGTTTAAAATATCACTAACATGTCTTTCTTTTAGACTCCATGTCATCAGTAATCATAAATTCATTAATAAAATAATTAGCACATATATACCAATTATTACACATTATCATCCGAGTTCTTGTTCTTTAAATCCGGACAACTTTTCCATAATTCAACCGAAATTCACGAAACTCTGCAAAATTATGAAACAACTGTCTGAATTTAAATTTAAGCGTCAAAGATGTAGCATGTTTTTATTATATCTTATCTGNAGTTCGGTCGTGGGTTCGCGCCGCGATCGGACAGGCTGGCTGCTTGGAGTTTTCCGGGTTTTCTCCTTGCCAATAATGACTAAATAGGAGGCCAGTTCCCCATAAAAGTCCTCCCGGAAGGCATTAGTTCCCCTCGCGTAACATCGCGCCCCAGAGAAGGCAACGGGAAACCACTCTGGGTAGTAACTTTCCCTAGTATACACCTTGGCGGATTACAAACCTACGCCAGGTGTCGCCGACGTCAGGAATCTGATATGGCACCAAGAAGAAGAATGCTGTTCAATAAAACCTAATTTTATGTAAGATATAAAATATTGACTTTCAGAGTTGCAAACAGCTTTCAGAACCTTTTCTTACAAATAGAGAAATTTCTATAATTACACTGGTCTGCAAAAAAATTTCTTTCCAGCTGCATGGGATATTTTTGCTGATTTATATGTTTTAAAGATTGGAGATTCTAAAAAATGACTTCTGTAACATCCCATCACGTATAGGCAAAATAAAACAAATATTTGATAAAAACTCTTATTTATTACAATGAACTAAATATATTATATTTTCTTACAACTAATCAACAAATTGTTTCTGATATATACAATTTTAGGTCTACTCTTTTTTCTTATGACACCTTTTCTTCTTTTCTTTGATGCTTCTCTGAACTCTTTTCCGATTTCCTTCTCTGATTTCTCGATTGAGCATCCAACAGTAGTCAGCTAACATATTGGCATCTCATTTTCCTTGATAACGTCTCTCAATATCACAAACATCCTGGTGAAATCTTTCACCCTGTTCTTCACTGTAGGCTCCCAAGTTTTCGGGAAAATAATCAATATGGGAGTGTAAGAAATGAACTTTTAAGCTCATCTTGCATCCTTGAGCTTCATATGCTGCCAACATGCATTGTACAATGGTTTTGTAGTCAGGGTCCTTAGTATTCCCCCAAAAAACTTATGCACTATTCTAGAAAGTGTCCTATGCTTTTTTTTTCCTTTATTCCCATTGTTTCCAAAAACAGGGGATCAGATAAAGGTGATGTTGACTTTTCACTGTGTATTCACCACAAACATAACAGAGAAATAACAACAGCTGTCGGGAGAAATTACACAACCTCTGCGAGTCATATTCCAGAAATAAAAATACAAGCACAGTAGCATCCGAATGCTGGATATAAACTGAGTGTGGCATTAGATGGCCAGCGAGATACTGAACTTATTTAGCTTGTTGAAACATGATCTAATACAACAGCAGGTTGTTTATATTTATTTCTAGTACCCCAGATAACATGTCGAAACATGCTCAACCTCACCAGTAATATTACTCATTATCAACTTTTAACCTGTTTCTACACGATCATGCGACCTTATTCCTAATGCTAAAACTCTCTTCAACCATTAGCATTTTTTTTATTTATTGAAAAGTCCAGCTATAGCTGATAGAATTACTATGAGAAGTCTTCGTTTTAAAGCCATTTTTTAAATAAAAAAAACACTAAATGTTAAGTTAACTATGAATTTTACGCTAAATACAAACAAAACCTTGAATGTAACAGTGAAGATCTTATTGCCGTTCCTTCCCAACTCCGTCTCGTTGAGTTGATCTCCTGTGTATCACGACTCGATGTAATGAATCAGGTTCGTTGGAAAGCACACCTCCACACTCGAATATATGTACAGTTTATTTACAGTTGTAGAAAGTACAAGTTGGAAAACATAGTGTATGTACTGTACAGGATAACCATGCGTAGTGAATTCACGTGCCAGATTGGCATCTGGGAACTAATAACCTTTGGAGAGACCTCAGTCAGATTGTGGAGTCGGCTCAACTGCACGGTCGGTCCGGTCTCAGCACTAACCCGTCTCTGAGAAGATCAACAGAGGAGAACATTCTCTCTTTACGCTCAGCGGGCTTCCCAAGTGTCTGAGACAACCGTGTATCAGTCTCTTGCCCTTCTCTCTTCCTCTCTCGTTCGCCCCGCAATTTAAAGGACTTTGGAACGGGGACTTCCGACCAATCACAACCCTTTTTTATGCCTGAACAGCTTACACTCGGGTCCGCCGTCATCCGACGAGAGTGGAGCTCACACAAACGTCCGCCACTTGTTTACGTTCGTTTGTTTACAATGCTTGTTTACAATGCTTACTGCAGTCAGACGGTAGTACAAACGTACGTTTGTACCACCGTCTGACTGCAGTAAGCATTGTAAACAAGCATTGTACAAACGTACGTTTGTACTACCGTCGACGAGAGTGGAGCTCACACAAACGTCCGCCACTTGTTTACGTTCGTTTGTTTACAATGCTTGTTTACAATGTTTACTGCAGTCAGACGGTAGTACAAACGTACGTTTGTACTACCGTCTGACTGCAGGTGGGTCCAATTAACAAAGCCGGCGCTTCCTTTGCTTACCCTTGTTTACAAGTCAATACCTTACAAGTGGTATTACCCGACCGCACGTGGGTCCAATTGACAAGGTCGCACCTTTTGTCCCCACTCTGCTAAAAGGTCACTACTTTACAGTAACAAAAAAAATTGACGAGATGGAATTTTTTTGGTATTTTTTTCGTTTTTACCAAGTTGAAATCTATAAGAAAATGTATAAAAATCCTATGCAGTTTTTTATTTGCAGACCTGTGTTATACTTTCCAAAAAATAATATTTTTTATTACACTTTTCTTTTTTATCTGTACTTTTCATCATATTTTTTTTTATCAATAATAAATCACTTATAATCTTTCATTTGTGACATATTACTGCTCAAACTGCTCGCCCAGGCTACACCGATAAACATTTAAATCATTCAGTTTAATATGTTGATGAAAATGCAAATAGCTTAATCATAGAAAG